GGGACAGGGACATGGGGACAGGGACATGGGGGGCTGGCAGTGACAGCGTCCCCAGGCTGGCGGTGATGGTGGCACCGTCCCTGTCCCTTTGGGGGGGTGGTGGCATCGGTGTCCCTGTCCCCGCAGGAGCCGTCCCTGTACACGGTCAAGGCCATCATCATCCTGGACAACGATGGCGAGCGGCTCTTCGCCAAGGTGGGGACAGCGAGGGGACACAGAGGGGACAGCGAGGGGACACAGAGGGGACACTGCTCCACGGGGGGATGTGGCTCTGGGGAAGGGACAGGGTGGGTGGCCCGGGTGTCAAGGGGTGGCCGATGTCCCTGTCCCATCTTCCGTGTTCCTGTCCCCGATGTCCCCAATGCCCCCAATGCCCCCGATGTCCCTGCTGTCCCCAATGCCCCCCGTGTCCCCAATGTCCCCAACGCTGTCCCCTGCCCCAGTACTACGATGACACGTACCCCAGCGTGAAGGAGCAGCGCGCCTTCGAGAAGAACATCTTCAGCAAGACACACCGCAGTGACAGTGAGTGACACAGGGGACCCCGGGGACCCTGGGGACCCTGGGGACACCGGGGACACCGGGCACAGGTGTGGCTGTCCCCGAGCAGGTGAGATCGCGCTGCTGGAGGGGCTCACCGTGGTCTACAAGGGCAGCATCGACCTCTACTGCTACGTCATCGGCAGCGCCCACCAGAACGAGGTGGGGACACCGAGGGGACACCGGGGACACGGCGGGGACATGGGGACATCTCCCCGTGTGTGTCCCCTGTGTCCCCTGATGTCCCTGTGTGTCCCCAGCTGATGCTCACGGCCGTGCTCAACTGCCTGTTCGACTCCCTGAGCCAAATGCTGAGGTACGGGGGGGACACCTGGGGACACCTGGGGGACACCTGGAGACACCTGGGGGACACCTGGGGGACACCTGGGAACACCTGGGGGACACCTGGGGGGCACCTGGGGGACACCTGGGGGACACCTGGGGGACACCTGGGGGATACCTGGGGGACACCTGGGGATATCTGGGGATACCTGGGGAACACCTGGGGACACCTGGGGA